TACCCTAAACCCTGAGCCTTCCACCCCCGTGCCCCAAAGGTATGCACAGACTCCAGAACTCTTTAATTTAGGACTAACTATAGCCAAATTATAGCGGGATCCCTGTATGATTTATGAACCCTAAGCCCTAAACCCACACCCTAATGAATTTATGAACTTGTCCTGGCTGAAGGAGTTCTGGAGTCTCTTGGGGAGCATGAAAAGAATCCTTATGCTGATCTTCAATAGCCTAGAGCGCGGTTTCAGGGTCTAATGGGTGTAGGGTTTATATACTGGGTTTAGGGTCTACTGGGTTTAGGGCTTAGGGCCGACTGGAGGGTACTTGTGGGGTCTGGCGGGTTCAGGGTTTACGGCTTCGGGTTCCCAAACCCTAAACCCTAAACCGTAAACCCTAATCCCTAAACCGATGGCTCTAACAGGGTCCAGGATGCAAGGACTCGAAGCTTCTCCGGATCTTAGTCTCCGACCTTCGACAAGACCAAAGTCTCACATAATATAGGGGCCTGAGCAATTAGAATAGGGTTTTGAATAGGGTTTAGGGTTTAGGGTTTAATTAGAATAGGGTTTTGGGGCCCATTCTACTGTAATTATAGCAAGAAACCCCCAAAATAGAATTCTAATTATTAAGGCCCCTCTATTACCAAGGTCTCACATAGGACCTGCCAAGTGATCAAGCCCAACAGTCAAAACCCAAAATCCAGCGCCTCAAACCCTAAACGGCTAAACCGTGGTTATGTCCTGCAGGGGATCCAGGGGCAGAAGCTCGTCAGGCAGTTCATCGGCAGGGACAGAGACCTGGAAGCAGGATTGTCGCACCGAATATAGCGGCTTAGGCATATAAATCCTGCATTACCAATAATAAGGCAAAACATAACTCCCATAGCTAAGGGTCCTTAAGGCAATCAACCGTAGGGGCTTAGGAATGAAAAGGGTTTGGGGCATAGGCTTCAGGTTCCCTTGTGTCGGGTTTGGTGCAATGTAGGGGCTTCGATGTCAGCAGCACCAGCCCCGGTACGAAGCACAAGAGGTTGTTCGTTTTAAATACGTATGTAAGCAGACACCTACACGTATCTGCACATCCACACCTGCATACCCGGCGTTTAAGATCTCCCTTTTTCATGGGGCATGACAGCGTCTGTACTAGGATTGTGTCCAATATTGTGCAAATCGTGAAGCATGCGCCGAGATGTAAAATATATAGCAATCTGACTTGGAAGTCCCTAGAAACATTTCAGGCAATAAGATAGGCTTGCCATAAGGGTATAAAGTACCTCACGACCAGGTGCTGCTGGCTAACTCGTCATTGCAAACGAGTACATTGGGAAGTCATACTTATTAGGCACTTGAGCTCTCAAAGTTAGGGTCTAGTATGCACCCAGAAAAGCTAGTTTTTGAACTTAATCCTAAACCCTAAACCCGAAACCAATCAGGAAACATCACAAGCTAGATATTCTAAGAGCTTAAGAGATGGAGGGCCCTAGGATCCCTGAATGTCCAGGGAAATGTATGTGACGGTTCAGAGCCCTAAGGGTCCATGTGCCCAAATAGTATATACTTTGGCCTTATAGTAGTCCCTATATGGGTACTTTAGGGCCAATGTATATACTATTTAGGTACATGGACCCTTAGGGGAGTTTAGGGCTTCTGGGGTTTAGGGTTCAGAGTTCAGGGCTTCTGGGGTTTAGGGTTTAGGGTTCAGAGTTTAGGGCTTCTGGGGTTTAGGGTTTAGGGTTGAGAGTTTAGGGCTTCTGGGGTTTAGGGTTTAGGGTTCAGAGTTCAGGGCTTCTGGGGTTTAGGGCTTAGGGTCCAGAGTTTAGGGCTTCTGGGGTTTAGGGTTTAGGGTTCAGAGTTCAGGGCTTCTGGGGTTTAGGGTTTAGGGTTCAGAGTTTAGGGCTTCTGGGGTTTAGGGTTTAGGGTTCAGAGTTCAGGGCTTCTGGGGTTTAGCGTTTAGGGTTCAGAGTTTAGGGCTTCTGGGGTTTAGGGTTTAGGGTTCAGAGTTCAGGGCTTCTGGGGTTTAGGGTTTAGGGTTCAGAATTTAGGGCTTCTGGGGTTTAGGGTTTAGGGTTCAGAGTTTAGGGCTTCTGGGGTTTAGGGTTTAGGGTTCAGAATTTTGGCTTTCTGGTTTCAGGTTCTACGAGGTCATAAACAAAAAATTGTGTGGCTTAGGCTTAGGATTTAGGGTATACCCTAAACAACCGTCACCTACTTTTTTCAAAAGCTCTTCTTCGAAACCCTCATCTAGAACTCATTAGAACTCATCGGGATCCTACAACAAAGTAGCTCATGGTAAGCCCTACCTAGACCCCAAACAGACCTCCCGCTTTAAGGACTTATTATAAGGAAGTCGTAATAAGGAGCCCTAAAAAGGTAGGTTCTTTTGGGGTCCACGTAGACCTTATAAAACCTAAACCCTAAACCCCAAACCTAAACCCTAAACCGTAACCTTAAAACCTAAACCCTATGGGAGGGCCTGGTTTGAGGAGGGATGGCCCTGGCGCCTCGTCGCTATGCTCGGGCACCTCTGGGCCGTCGCTATACTCGGGCACCTCTGGGCCTTCCTGGCCTTGGCACACACATAGGAGGTAGGATTAGGGGATTTTTGGGGATATAGACCCTCTCAGTAAGGTCCCTTTAAAGAGAGCCATAAGTAGCTCCAAGAGTCCAAAGGACCCAATAATCAGGTACTTAGGTTTCGGATTGTAGTTATGTAGGTTACTTTTTGGGAGAGTATATGATTGTTAGGTACTCGGACCCTTAGGGTAGGGTTAAGAAGGGTCCCCTTTTAAGGAGTTTCCCTGATACTACACCCTAACGCTGCCGATTAGGGGTTAATGGATGCTTTGGCTTATATATAAACTGTAGGGATTCGGTTTTAGGGTGAATCGTTTAGGGTTTAGGGTTTAGAGTGAAGGGTTTCGGGTTTCGGGATGCTTAATTAGGGCTTAGAGTAAGGGCTGAGGATTGTTAAATTTACGAGCGTGGCACGCTAATCTGCGATATCACTATCATTTCAAGGGCCCAACGCCTAAACCCTAAACCCTAAACCCTAAACCCATGTCAAGGGCCCAGCGCCCTGAAGGTCCTTACGACTTCAGCGGCCTTGGGTCTCCTCTACAACAGGCTTTACCCTAAGGGTCCATGTACCTAAATGGGTTCCTTTAAGGGTTCCTTTAAAGGGATTCTATAAGGGTACTATAAGACTATGAGGGTTTTGGGTTTAAGGGT